GGTTTAGGGTTAGGGTTAGGGTTAGTGTTATTTTTAGGGTTGGGGTTAGGGTTAGGGTTAGGGTTAGGGTTAGGGTTAGTGATAGGTTTAGGGTTATGTTCTTCTGGTTTTATAGTAGTTCTGGGAGGAGGTTCGGAGTCTGTTTGTTCTGTGTTTTCTTCTGGTAGTTCAACTATTGGTTGTGGTCTGCGGTATCTTTTGCGTCTAGTCTCTAGCCAATCGATTTTATCACCAGTATACGGTTGTATGTCGGGATTGTTTTTGGACATCTCCCAAAGGGTGTCAAGGTATGGAGTTGGGTTGGGAATGGTGGTTGCGTTTTTCTTTAACATATTTCTTAAGCGTGTTCTTCCAAATGTACTTGTTATCATATAGGTGTCGAAGAAATGCATAACCTTTTCCATTTGGCTTTGATACTTTTCCCCCTCGTTCCACCCCTTGAGTAGTATTTCTCCATGTTCGGCTAATTTGTCGGGGTTGTTTTCGATAAATTCTTTAATATGTTCCACCTTATCCCACTTAGTTGGATGTAAGCCGAATAATGACCAGAATAGATCGTAGAATGGTTTAACCCAGTCCCAGCGATCTGTTAGTGTGAATAGGAGTTCCTGAGCAGGGATGGGGAATATTCGGTCGTACCACCATATCCGTTGTGCGGTATCCATCATAATGATCTTAACCCCCGTGGTAGTGTTTAAATAGAAGACGATATAGGAGGAAGGGAGTAAAATTTTAAATACTTTTGAAGTACCAGTTGCGAAAATGGCAAGTACATAAGTGGCAAGGTGGTTCTGGGAGCTCTTCACTCCCTACTTTTACAAGAAATTTATAATAAAAACAACGTTCCAATATGGCTTTTCCGTCTGGGTCGAGTACATAGTATACCAAATTATTGTTCGTGGTGATGAGCACAGGTAATCTTTGTAATCGTTCATCTTTCTGGTGTTTGACGTGAATATCAAAAGGGTTGCCACCGAGTAATTCTTTAAAATCATTAACTGTCAATTGGGTAATGCGAGGTTCTTCCATTAAAGCGAGTGCTTTGTTCAACAAGTTCATTAAAAAAAATTGAGAATGGTCTCCTGATCTTTGGACTGTGCCGTAGATGTAGTTTTCGGCAATGAGTTTGACAAATAGGGTCTTTCCAGTTGTAGTCGGTCCTTCAATGACGAAGGCGTTTTTCCTTGTACACACTTTGTTCATCACTAGGGTCAGGTCAGTTAGAAACTGTTGTTTATTGATCTTGTTAGCTGACATCAGTTGATCCAACCAGTATTCTCCATCTAAAGTGTTAGCTGGGTGTTGGCATTGGCGATTATGGTAGTTAGTCATGAGTATTTCTTCGAACCGCATGGCCAGTTGTTTTGATAACATGCCGGCGATGTAATTATTGATTGAGTGCTCGGCGGTTTCTTTCCACTGAGGCCCGTATTCGTCATAGATATCGTCTCTGTCGTCACATGACATAGCCATGTAGAATTCGTTGTAACTCCGGGCATCATAGGCTTCAATTAATCCCTTCATAAGTTCTCGTCTCCTTTTCCGATTGATGTTATTGTGTTTTTGTTTAGATCCTCTGTCGTCTCTCAGTAGTGTGGCACAATCCTTTCTTTCTCGTGGTATCGTGTACAAGTCGTCTCTCAAATCTTCCAATTTTTGCCAATACAGATGATAGGGGTTTGCGCGGCTCGTACCAAGTATGCTGCGAAATGGTTCCAGTTGATGACTGGTTGCACAGTAGCCATTATTGACATGGATTGCCTTCTATCCAGGTTCCCACTTTCGATGAGTCGTTGGATAGTCCTGGTCTTGTTTTGGGGACAACACTCAAACACAAAGTGGTAGTGATCCCCGTGATCCACATACAGACAGTTGGCTCTTGTTCCTCGTTCAAATCGTGGTGGTTGACCCCGATATACAAATGTCCATAGCTTGTTGTTGTCTGTCATAGAGGGTTCCGGGCTGAATAGTTGCCTCCTTTTTGAATGCCACACATTACTCAGATCCAACATTGGTGGTCGATATTGTGCGGGCGGTGTTTGAATCACAGGCACGGTGTCCGCTTGAGCGGGGTTGTCTTGATGAGAAGTCCAAAATTCTTCATCCACAGCTGTATCCGAGAATAGATCGGGACTTGGCGGTTGATGATTTTGGTTTTCCACCCATTGTTCGAAACTTAGAGTCGGACTTGGTGGATTTCCACCATACACAGGACGCATCGATGCGTCCAATCCTCCAATCAGAGGAGCAGAGGAGTGATAGGAGTGGAGAGGACAAAGGGGGCAAAATTTTGATTGGAGGAGCGGAGTGGAGAATCTGATTGGCTTTTTATTGGAGTATATAACAAAAGTTATACGGAGCTCCGCTCATTTCTCCGCTCGCTCTCGGAATGGAAGGACCAGCTGGAAGAAGCCCTGTGTATGGTGGAAATCCACCAAGTCCGACTCTAAGTTTCGAACAATGGGTGGAAAACCAAAATCATCAACCGCCAAGTCCCGATCTATTCTCGGATACAGCTGTGGATGAAGAATTTTGGACTTCTCATCAAGACAACCCCGCTCAAGCGGACACCGTGCCTGTGATTCAAACACCGCCCGCACAATATCGACCACCAATGTTGGATCTGAGTAATGTGTGGCATTCAAAAAGGAGGCAACTATTCAGCCCGGAACCCTCTATGACAGACAACAACAAGCTATGGACATTTGTATATCGGGGTCAACCACCACGATTTGAACGAGGAACAAGAGCCAACTGTCTGTATGTGGATCACGGGGATCACTACCACTTTGTGTTTGAGTGTTGTCCCCAAAACAAAACAAGGACTATTCAACGACTCATCGAAATTGGGAACCTGGATAGACGACAATCCATGTCAATAATGGCTACTGTGCAACCAGTGATCAACTGGAACCATTTCGCAGCATACTTGGTACGAGCCGCACAAACCCCTATCACGTGTATTGGGAAGAAATTGGAACATTTGAGAGACGATCTGTACATGATACCACGAGAAAGAAAGGATTGTGCCACCCTCCTAAGAGACGATAGAGGATCTAAACAAAAGCACAATAACATCAATCGGAAAAGGAGACGAGAACTTATGAAGGGATTAATTGAAGCCTATGATGCCCGGAGTTACAACGAATTCTACATGGCTATGTCATGTGACGACAGAGACGATATCTATGACGAATACGGGCCTCAGTGGAAAGAAACCGCCGAGCACTCAATCAATAATTACATCGCCGGCATGTTATCAAAACAACTGGCCATGCGGTTCGAAGAAATACTCATGACTAACTACCATAATCGCCAATGCCCAACACCCACTAACACTTTAGATGGAGAATACTGGTTGGATCAACTGATGTCAGCTAACAAGATCAATAAACAACAGTTTCTAACTGACCTTACACTAGTGATGAACAAAGTGTGTACGAGGAAGAACGCCTCCGTCATTGAAGGACCGACTACAACTGGGAAGACCCTATTTGTCAAACTCATTGCCGAAAACTACATCTACGGCACAGTCCAGAGGTCAGGAGACCATTC